TATAGACTGGTCAGTGAAAATCCTCCCACTCCACTGTGTTGCTGACTGCCATGGGGAAGTTGGTGAAAAGAGAAGGCAGTGGGCTCCAGCATACTGTAGAAAACACAGGACATATAAGTGTTACTCATTCCTACATAAGCAAAGGTGCCATTCTGTGCAGGCTGTACACACTGAGATGGGCTGATGATGCATTCTATGTGCATTATAGCTTACATTAAGGCCTTGTTCACACCAAGCGCAGAGCAGGTGCAGAGCAGAGCAGTTGCAGACCGGATCAAAACTGCGTCCAATGTATTCCAATGGTATTTTTTGCTCTAGTTCACATCGCAGCGTGCAGTTCCAGAGCAGGTAAAAAACTGCAGCAGGCCCTATTTTACCTGCTCTGGAACGCATGCAAACACATAAAAAATGCATGTAAATGCCTGGAACGCACTGAATGCCCATGTTAAACTTAAAAAAAGATATATTTTTTTTTAACCAAAAACGGCCCGGAACGCATCAAAAACGCGCCAAAAAACACAGCCCAACCCACTGCACTGCGTGTGCAGAAACCTGAGCGGATCTGCTCTGCATTTGGTGTGAACAAGGCCTAAAGGAGAAGTATGAGGTGAGTGCTTTTCAATCACCTCATAGTTCTAGCCGACCTGTGACAATGAGACTGTCACAGGTCGGCTCAGTAGATCGGGAAGTGAGCGAACACATACCGGCGTTCGCTCACCTCTCGATCCTGTCACAGCCCTCTGCCGTGACAGGGGAGGGGCTGGATTCCCCCCTCCCCGCCAGCACTGACTGGCGGATCGGACGGGGGAGGGGGCGGGTACAGCTAGATAGGCAGAGCCAGCTGTCACTCACGCAGCTGGGCGGATCCCGACATAATTGTCGGGATCCGCTTCAGCTGCGGCGTCTCAGTATACCACGAGCTGTAACTCGCGGTATACTGAGCTTAGGTTAACAGGAGGACGCTAGTTTGTGTCCTTCCGTTACCCTAAGGAAAACTATGGGGAAAAGCCTTAACCCCATAGTTCTCCTTTAAAGTTGGACGCTAGTCAGACATAAAAACAACACCAGTAAATGCAGGTACATGGCGCAGGTCCCTGGAAGTGGGAGGGGACAGTATTCAGGACCAATTAGATGTCCTGAACTTGCATGTGCTGACATGGAACATGTTGATAGGAGGTGAGAGTAGTAACTTAATTATTGGACTTCATTATTGTTATGCTCCTTCACAGTCCAGTCGCAGGCTAGGGGCCGGAAGGTGACCTAGCTGTGTTGCGTAACTGGAGCAGATCTCCAGGCTAGCTGGGTTTTTCCTATCAGAGCTGTGTAAATCTAATAACTAGATTGATAGTAATAAAGATCAGAAAGCAAGTTCCATATATGTATTTCAATTGTGTATTTTGCTGTTTACCTGGAGTTTAGCTCTAGGTATGAGCAATACTGCTTGGGTTTTATTTTTGGAGAGTTACTCGAAGCCTGTTTGAAGTTTGCAAAAACTCAAACTTAGCAAATTCCATTCAAGTCTATAGAGGGAGGGGAGGCCAAATCTTGATACCATATTCTTGCTATTTTCAGGGCTAATGGGCAAGCTATTGTCAAATAAAGGGCATGGGGAGCTGATCACTGCCAGGGGTTATTTAAGTAAAAAAAAAATGCTTGAAAAATACTGCACAGTGGGTAGAGGGACCTTAATGATTATATATATATAT